GGCTGTAGTTTGCATGCTTATTCATGCTACAGTTTAGAACCCTGACATCACTTAGGGAGCAAGATCTCAATGGGTGTTTAATGCCAGCCACACTGCTTCACAACTGACTACCATAATAGAATTGCCTTATCTTTTCTGGTGAGACTTCTCTGAGCAGGCCAGTTTCTTCATTCATTCATTCATTTGTTCATTCATTCATTCATTCATTTGGGTATCAGGCATGTCTTCATCTTTCTGTCCTTCTATGTGTGTTTCTTGAGCATTCCTGTGATTCTATCCTATATCAGTGGCTAACACGAATGAACCTTGAGTGTGTGATAGTCTTTTTCCACTCTATAGATTTATTTCACAAGGGAAACATTTCTGGCTGTGTGGATTTCAGTGTTTCTGAGAAATTTAAGAAAAAGCAACCAGTTCCTGAAGGAGGACGGCACCTTCCCACGGACAGGAGGCCCAGGATGAACAAAAGGAGAAAGTGAGTCAAGCTTCAGTATGCACTTGTCCCTGCTTCCTGACATAGACACAACCAACCCCATCATGCCCCTGCCTCCACGCCTTGCCTACCATCTCCTATTTGAGTCAATAGGAATTCTTTTCCCTTTAAGTTGGTTCAGGCCAGGAACTTGGCCATCACAAGGGAGCAGTTAACTAATACAAGTGAGGAAGAGACATGCCCTGGTGTCAGGAGCTCACCTGTCGGTCATCTGTTACTTCTGAGGGCAGGCCCAGCCTCGCCTAACTCCTGTTCCAGCAGAGAGTAGATCAGGGGAGTGCAGCTTAAAAACACAACCAAACAACAAAAATAAAATGTGTTTGTGTGGTGTGTCCGTACGTGTCTGGGTGTGTGAGGTCAGAGTGAGCACTGAGGAGGAGAGGCAAGCCCTGCTCCTCTAGGGGACCAGGAATGCAAGGGAATTAGGCCCTTCCTGTGGGGCCTAATTCATAGTTTGGGGTATGTTATATGTGGCATATGTGAATTTTTTGCAGGCCCCCCCAAAAAAATGTAGCAAGTAAAGTTTATTGTGCCAAAGATCATTCATTAACTTCTGATATCTAAGGTTGTACAAGCTGAGACTAAAAGTTTTAAAGAGGAGCAAAGAGCATCATAAACTCCGTTTTGGAGTAGATTGACCACTGGGGTACTTTCTTTACTTCCTTGGTGCCCCCTAGAAGACATGTGTGTTGTTAGTCCTGCCCACACATGTAATCTTGTCATGCACACATTTTGCATGTTGTCTTTTTATTTCCCGGTGTGTCTTAGACATCTTTCCAGACCAGCGTGTGTGTTTGTGTGCGTGTATGTGTGTGTGTTCCCGTGTGTCTCTGCCTGTGAGCTCAGGGTAAGTGTCCCATGACTGGGGTGTGGAGATCAGAGGACATGGTCTCCTGTCTCCCCACCGTGCACACTTGGAGAGCCACTTTTGAACATTGAACATCTGGAGATTGCCCCATCTTTTTCCATCTTGTAGGAGTGCTAGGATTCCAAGTAAACATTACCCTGTGCTCCTTTCTTTAAGTCGCGAGGGTCTGAACTGGGATCTCCAGGCTTCAGTGGCAATTGCTCTTACCCATAACCTGGTCTCCACAGCCTAGATTCTCTTTGGGACTTCCTGCTTTACATAAGCACTTGTCTTAAGCCGTAGGACAGTCACAAGTACTGGCTAAGGACCTCCAAAGACAGGTCCCTGAAGCCAGGCCTGACGAGGGTGGCTGGTTATCGATCTCCTCAGGACTCTCCCCACACTCCCGTCACCTTTCTCCTCCTCTATGTTCTAGCAAAGCTGTTGCATGGCTGATGTGCCTTTTGAGGAGGAAAACAGCACACTTTAGGGTCTGAGATCCACTCCTTCAGGGACTGAGATCCACTCACAAATGCCAAGGTGGGTGAGGGGTTCTTCTGCAGACTGCCGAAGATCAGTGTGGGTCATAGCTGACCTTACAGAGACCCTGTTTGCTCTTTTCTCCTTGGGAGTCTCATGCTGAAACCAATTCAAATCATTGTGACAAAAGCCAAAGGCCACCAGCATTGTTCCTGAGCCAGGGATCTGACCCCTGGGTACCCATGCATTCCTAACATGCTCCATGCACTCTGGTGGGGACAGCGCTCCAGCAGGGCTGTGTTGCTTTGCTGGGCTGTGCAGTCTGCTTACTAAATTGCAAACATCATAGTCTCTAGGAAATCTGTCACTGAATTGTCACACGGAGAGTTCAGCAGTGATCAAAGCATAGATAGCATTGTGATGCTTCCTCTTGGGGTCAGCAGGGCCTGACTTGGAGTCACCTGGGAGACACACCCCTGATTGTGTCTGTGAGAGCATTTAAGAGATGGTGACTTGAAGGGAGGAGATCCATCCTGAATGTGGGCAGCACTACCTGTGGACTGGGTCTCAGACAAAACAAGTTTTGCTTTTAAAAGAGAAAAACCAAGAAACACAAGTATGTGTGTATCTCTGTTCCCCGACTGTGGACATGCATGGTGGGACTGACCAACTGCTGTGCCATCTGTGCTAGGATAGGCTTTCTCCTCTCCCACCGTGAGCTGAAATAAACCCTTCCTTGTTTAAGCTGCTTTTGTTGAAGACTGGGAAGGTGTGTGACTGATAGGAACACAATAATTGTGCACAGAGTAGCCACACCTGAAAGGGCCATTCCTATTAAGAGTGAGAACTTTTGCCATACTTCAAGGTCTCTGTGTACCTTCTCTCAGGCCCAACACTTACCTCTACTCAAAAGGCAACCTTGGTCCAGGCCTGGCGGTACACACCTTTAATCCTAGCACTCAGGAGGTAGAAGCAGGTGGTTCTCTATAAGCTTGAGGCCAGCCTGATCCAGAGCTGTATAATAAGATGTTGTCTTAAAAACAAATACAACAGGGCTGGAGAGATGGCTCAGAGGTTAATTGCATTGCCTGCTCTTCCAAAGGTCCTGAGTTCAATTCCCAGCAACCACATGCTGGCTCACAACCATCTGGAATGAGGTCTGATGCCCTCTTCTGGCCTGCAGACATACATGCAGACAGAATATTGTATACATAATAAATAAATAAATATTTAAAAAAAACAAATACAACAAAAGCACCCCCCCACATACATACATACATACATACACACACACACACACACACACACACACACACACACACCCCAGAGATAAGCTTGGCTTGCTTCTTCAAGTCATGCTCCAGCTAAATCTAATTTTATGGATTTACTCATAGTTCATCGTCTTTCTATCTAGTTTCTTCCACTCTGTGCTTTATTTTTTTTTTGTATTTACCCATATTTTTTTCAGTTTGCTCTTCCCTTTAGCTACAAAGGCCCCACCGCCTGCACAGTGCAATTCACTAATCATTCTATTATAACCAAGAATAGGTATTTTGGGGTATCTTGCTATTACCCTGAAGATGTTCTTCCATACCCTTTATCTGAAGAGACGTGGATTCGTGGTGGATATGGGAGACGGCTGATGGACTCCTTGGCTGCTAAGGTTCACATATGTCCATCTCACTGCACAGAAAATTTTCGTTGTGTTTGGCCTTAGGGTTGATGAAGGGTCCTGGCCGTTCCACATCCTCCCTCCTGTTTGGTAGTGTCGTTGTTAAACTTTCTGTTTCTTTTGGTTGTGTGTTAATTACCTGCTTCCAGATGCCTGCTGCTGTTAAGCACATTTTGAAATGCCTGTTTGACAGTTGGGTAATATCTTTGGTGGTGTGTCTGTTCAAAAAGGCTTGCCAGTTTTGCTTTCATGATTTATTGGCTTGTTGAACTTTTTAACTTCAAGTTAACTAATTAATTACTGTTTATGCATGCATGTGTGTTTACAGAGGTGGGAGCCTTCCATGTGCTTGCAGAGGTGGGAGGGCGACTTTCAGCTTTGGTTTCCTCCTGTCTTCCGCTGTGGGATCCTGGGACTGAACTAGGGTCATCAGGCTTGCAACCACGAAGTGGCCATCCCTTCCGAGCCAGCATGCTGGTTAGCATTTTGCATTTCATGGGTCCGGTGTGTGGGAAACGTCTTCCTTTGACTTATTTTTCTTTTCTGCCATCATGATGGGCCTCGTATTTGTCACGACAATAAGAAAGATTTACTAATCTAAACACAACAGTTTGTCCCAGAGAGGACCCACATGCAAGGATCCCTCTGGTATGCGGGGGTTTAAAATAAAGGGAACAGAATGTAAAAGATGAGAGGGACTCTTGTTTCTTGAAGTTTTATCTCCGCCAATCTCTGTCTGTCTTCTCTGTCTCTCTTTGTGTATGCATTTGAGTGTGCACATGTATGTTCGTGTGTGCACTTGTTGTACTATAGCAGTCTAAAGGCATCTTTCCTTGGTGATCCAATGAATAGACACATCTCTCAGTGGCACTTTCAAACAGGGGTTAGGGCTGGGGAAGTGCCCAGGAGAGGTGCTTGTCAATAAACACAGTTTGATGGCTACAGCTAAGTCTTCCTAAATCCCCCGTCCAGACCTGGAGCTGAGAACAGGCCATTCTGTGTGGACCACTGCTACAGAGGTCAGCATCTTTTGGGTTTGCCTCACTCTGTAGACTGCAGATACCTCTTACTTGTGCCGAGGGAGTGTAGTTACGACAGTGGCCAGAGACAGGACCCTGCTGTCTCAGAGAGAGTCCAGAAGAGTGGATTCAGCTCTGAGGCCTGTACTGCTGGCCAAGTATCAAGCAGTGGTACCCTTCACACTGGTGGCTGCAGCAAGGGCTCGGGGGCAATCTTCCCCAGCCAGCAGCATGGGTACCCTTCTGAGATCATCAGTTTGGATTGCTGGGCTCCCAGACATTTTCTTGCATGTTAGGCTGGAGCCTTTTCTCCAGCGGATTGGCTCCATGCAGCCCTGCTGCGGAGTGGGTTGTCTTGTGTCAATAATATCCATATCTTGGTTGAGTTTTAATGTGAACTCGCCTCCAGCGAGCTCAGGATGGAAAGGTGCACAGGGACTGTGACACCTCAAAGAGTGACTAGCGCAGCATCTTAGGTCATGCACAGAACATTTTATTACAACAAACATGTTACCGCATACAGTAAAATCCTACAGAAGAATACATATACATATACCCCCCCAACACTAAACCTCATCTGAACACACTCAGATGATATGTGATCACCCACATCATTGTTCTTTGTCTTAAAAAGAGCTTATTAAACAATATCAGTTCATCAAGAGGGTAGGACACGAGCTGAATTATTGCTGGAAGGAACCAAGTGCTCCTGGGTTCGATGGTTTGGCTGTTTATCTATGCAACAATTAGACCTCCCAAAATCCAATTCAATTCAAACCCGAGCCCATTTTTTCCCAGATAGCATCCTACAGTTTTCAGTATAAAAATGAACAGCCCATGATTTTGTCATTTAACACTATATAACAGAAACACTGAGGACTTTAAAATCAGTGTGGGGTGTTCTACCCTCCAAAGTTCTTCAGCAAATCGCCTTCCCCAGCATCACCACCCTGAGTCAATCGGTCATCTGACACCACTGCCTGCAACACTTAGCAAATGACAACTAAATAAGGCTCTGCTTTCCTGGTGAAGAGTGCTGTTTCACAAATGAACACCCAGATTTAAAACTGAGAAGGGAAACCAATTTAATGATATAATCTGAGCTTGATTTTTACTGTGATGATAAAATATCACAATTATTCCCTTGAAGGAGGGATATTTTTAAGTATTTAAGGGGAAGGAGCCATGCAGGTTCACTCAGCTAGAAGAAAACGAACTCCAAGATGTAAGATGGGGCTTCAGCTCCAATTTGCTTCCTGTCACATGACCAAGTGGGAATCTGCCCCTGTCCTTTGGGCTTTCCCAGGTAAACTGAGTACACCGAACATAACTAATAAAAATATCAAAATCTACAGGAAAAACGTGACTCAGTTTTCTCTTTAAAATATCTCGATAGGAGTTGGGTGATATACAAATGTAATCCCTAGAATGGGGGAAGTTAGGGCAGGGAGAGTATGGTTTCCAGGACAGCCTGGGCTACATAGTTATACCCAACTTCAAGGGAAAAAAAGGCAGTCACTAAGCACACAAACAAACAAAACAGGAAATACAGAGCTCCTGACCTATTTTGGGTGAGACAAAGTGTCTTTGTTGAATTATGGTGACCTTACTGAAGTATAAACATCTTTTGTGAGAAAATACTTACAAATCCAGTTCCTTATCAAATTCTTAGTATTTATCCAAACACACACACACACACACACACACACACACACACACACTGAAGAAACAGAACCAAAATTCACCAAGTTCCAAAAGTAAACTCTGAAGCAAAATTTCTGAGATGCCGAATAAAGTTTGACATCTCAGCGCCCTCTAGCGGCCGCAGAAGAATTTCAGAGACGTTAAAATTCATCGGCAACAGAAAACTTTCAACTATTTTTGCTCTTTGATAGGAAATTGTTATTTTGCAAACGGTGAGATGCAGTTCTGGTCTGGCAAGTCACGCGATGCTTCCACAGGAAGAGTATTTGACCCAGTCTCATCGTCTTTCCTGGTTTTTTTGGTGCGGAGAAGCATCTGGTGCATCTCACGTTGACCTAGATTGGGTCTCATTCAGGCTTCCTTGGGAAAATTTTCCATGGAGCCACAGGCTCTTTTACACCAAGCGGACCACACTCCATACTTCCGACAGAGTCCTTCCTGGCCTTGCTTCCATGACTTTTATGGAATGCGCCAACACAGCCCTTGCTGCTTTTCCAGACTTAGAAGATGACCTTCTACTCTTCCTATACTTCTGAGTAAAAAGTCCAACATTCCAAAGCAGAAAAGCCGTTAAATAGTCACTGGAGGACATATTTTGTGATGTTTCCTGGTAAATAAAACTGGCATATTTAGCAGAAAATAACTCACCATCTCAAGTGAGGAGGAGGAGAAAGGAAACAAGGGATTCACAGTAAAAGTCCACAAAAATTCAAACACAAGTTAAATAGGTTGGTTTTTGGGACCAGTGCACCTCGCTCTTCTGGGAACTGAACTCTATCCCTGCACACAGGCAGATTATCTGTTTTATAAGCTATCATCGCGTGGTTTTACCCCTTTCTTCTTAGTTCAGTCAAACTAAAACAAACATACAGTCCACATTCTCAGTAATGATAATCTACAGACAGCCAGAGGATGTACAACCGAGAGTCATGTTTTCATCTCTGGATAGAGAGCAAGAACCTCGGGTGGTGGACAGCTTCACGTGGAGATCCGCGTAGCTGGTCAGAGTATCCTTCTTGTCTCAGGTTCACCAGTCCAGCTTCAGGTCAGCCTTGCTCCATACATACTTGCCTCCCCGCTTCAGGAACATCTTCTCATCAAATCCACTGAATTTTATCGCTTCTTCCACCCCGACATCTAGGATGGACTTGGAAGGGTCCTTCCGGCCACCAGTACAGTTCAGGAAGCGCATCTGGGAAATACAAGGTAGAAATAAGTATGTTGCCATATGGTTTATCCTGTGAGACTCAACTAAAACTATCCTTTCAAAAGTCCACATCCCAATCATGTCACATGGGCACTGAGATCTAAAACAGACTCTAAAATCCTCAGACCCCACTCCCAACACAGACAGGTCACACTCGTGGAGAGGGTGGCAACCGGGAGTAATGAACAGTATGGTTTAACCACCCGGGACTTGGCCCTCTCTGGAGACTAACTGGATTTTTTAGATATCATTCCCTAGGGTAAAGGAGAGTCTAGAGTACAGCAGGGTGGGCGCTGTGCTCTGAGGAAGCTGAGCTGAATGTCCTCAGTGAGACGGCCGCTGTGCTTGTGTGGTGTGAGTCCTGACAGAGGCTTCTCCTGAGGGGATAAGACAGAGGCTACTGAGGTGGGAAAGAGCCAGGTCCAGGACAGAAGGTCCCCAACACATCCTATCCATTTGTCTTCCTCTGTCTCTTTCCTTTCCACCCTTGCAGGCAGAAATGAGGGCTTCAAACTTGTGTGTCTACACTGAACATCCTGGAGAGCATCGGATGGTGCACACGGAATCACTAAGTTAGTTGTTCAGTTGACAAAAGCAAACACTGGGTTGTCAGTGTTTGTTACAACTCTGTGGGGATCTGTCAGACAGCTTATTGGGGAATATTGCTAAAAATCTCCAGTCAATCATGACAATTTATTCTCCAAAACAACTTCATTTCTTCCTTTTTTAACCTTAGATCTATAAACTGGACATTTCTATGGTTACTTTCTTTCTTAGGTTGTATAAAATTCAAGTTGGCAATAAATAAACAAAATTGATGCACTCTCTCATTGATTAACTTGAAAATAACAAAACACAAAAGCTGTAACAAATATTTCTCAAAATGCCAAGGTCAATACTGAGCCCTTGTTTCTTTTTGTTGCTCATTTCAAATACATGGCCTGGCATGGAGTCGTCTGTCCTCTGCTGGGAATATCAGCAGAAGCCATAAATCCAAAGATCTAAATAACAACAACAAAGAAAAGGAAAACAAGCGTGGTTTCTTTCCTATTTTAATAAGGGCGGGTTTTCCTTTGGAAGCAATGGCCTCAGAGATTGTGTTGATGGTGTCTGAAGGGGACAATAAGATTTCCTCCCATTGTCCAAGTTCATCTGTGACAGAGGTGCTGGCAGCCCTTCTGTTACTCAAGACAGCATGGAGTGCAGGGGACAGGGTGGTGCCGCAATGCAACCATCGAGCCCGTGTTAGACCAAACACTGGAGGGATCTACTAAGTGTGATGTCCTTATGACATCTGCAGATTTATGGCTACCTGGGATGTCATCTCATGGTGGCTCACCCCAATCCAGGTCGAGGATAATGTCCTGGGTTGATTTGAGAGAGAGCTTTGCATGTGAACCCAGGGCTGTACCATGCTGACAATAAAACCACCAGAGCGGCACTGGACATAATAGATGTATCCTGAATTTGTTCATTTGGGCACACCTCTGGCATGTCTGAGCTGCCTGCTTTCCTGTGAATTTACAGCTCGTGGGGGATACTCACATATTCATCCAGAATAAGGTAGGAGTCTTTCATCTGCAGAGGAAAACAGAATCAAACTTTAGTTTTCATCCAACATAGATTGTTTACCTTTTATGCCCTATTGGCTGTCCTTCCTTTTGTGTGTGTGTGCGCATGTGCATGCACACGCTCAGGGCAGCGGCCCTTAGCAGGGGAGGGTCCGCAGGGGCCCGTCCATCCAGTCATTCTGGATTTTTCTGACTCAGACCAAAAGAATTTTACCCTGAAGGCTGCTTTAAGCAGTCCAGCTTTCCCACCCTCCAGCCGGTTCCAGGATTGCTGTCTTCATCTCTCAGTCCCCATCACAGTGGCTACCATTCAAGGAATCTCCACAGTTTTTAATGTCCAAGTGAGGCTCTTGGCGGAGGACATTGTTTCTGAAGCTCCTAATGTCGCTGTGACCTGATGTGGGACAGTTTTGTGTTCTCGGGTGTACTGGACACTGCTGTTACTCTCTGTAGGGAGATTCCGACACTCTTTCCTCCCTCTAATAAGAGCTAGGCAGTAAATTTTATTTCTCTCGTTTCTTCCCACTTCCCTCCTTCCTTCCTCACTTTCCTTCCTTTCCTCTTCCCTTCTTCCTTCTGTCCTCCTCCTCCATGCCCCACCTGCCTTTTTGACAAGGCATCAGGTAGCCTAGGCTGACCTCAAACTCACTACATGGCCAAGGGCGTCCCTGAGTTTTGGGTTCTCCTGCTGCCACCTCTTGAATGCTAGATTATAAACTTGCAGTGAGTGTTTTAAGCTATGCTGGGGAATCAAACCCAGAGCTTGCAGCATGCTAGGTAGGCATTCTCCCAAATCAGTCACGTTTTTAGACCAGTTAATATTCCGTGCACACAGAACACAGTCTGTGTCCTTGTTAATCAGCTCTGCACCACACTATAGAAGCCACCTCCACCACCACCATCAAAACAAAAAACAAATTTTGGTGCAAATAAATTCATAAAAGAATGGAGTGCAACTCTACTGCCTGGTAATTTTAGATATAGACTCTCAAAATTGGAAAACCATTTCTTCTACATATTATCCAGCTTTTAAAATAATCACTAGAGAGGGTGTAAGGGACAGTCGTAATGATGCTAACACCAACATGGAGGCACTCACATATTCCTTCAGTGTGTGAGCCCTACCCACATGCTTCCCAAACATGTAGCTATTTTGTGTGTGTGTGTGTTTTATAATAGAGTTATAAATATATGTATTCATTTAATTAATCTGTGAGGTGGCCTAGTCAAACCCATTCTTAGCCAAAAAAAAAAAAAATCAGTATCGTTGTAGAACCCCAGTCCCAGATGACAGGTAACCATAGTAGACCTCCATCTCTTTGACTCTAGGATTGATTGCACTCCTCCCCTTTCTCCTTCCAGAACATCTAGAATAACAAGATGGCAAATTGCAAAGCTCTCAGCAGTGTAGTTATGTGGTAGTAAACATGGCAGCTTTTGCTGCATACAAACCTTCTGGTTAGATTCCGGCACCAAACAGGACACCTCTTGGTGACGCTCTAAGAATGCTTCAAATTCTTCATTGCTTATAAGAAATCGTTCTGCTTCCCTCAGGGCAGCTTCTCCAGAGTTCTCTCCCTCAATTAGGAGGCACTGGAAGACCTGGGAGAAGATAACGCATCTGTTAGTCCAGGAGCCTCACACTACCATTCTCTCCAAGCCTGCGGGGAGCAGACCCTACCCAGTTCAGTACTAACAAGCTCAGAATACAATTGATAGTCACCGCTAAGTCTGTGAGCACTTAGCCTATGAGGATCCGAGCCACGAGGGATGGAGCTAACGAAGTTCAGACGCTTTCCCTTGGAGCATTGCTAATTTCGGTCAAGAGCCCACAGATAGCAGAGGTTTTGAAGAAGAAGCAGGAACTGACCCTTAACACTGAGAGCCAGTGTCTTAAAATGACGAATCAGGAAATCGGAGTAGAAGAGAGAAGAATGTAAGGAAAGGCCACGAGAAAAGAGGAATCAGGGCGAGGAAGGAGGATGTACAGATGAGTCTTAAGAATAAGAGAGTGAAAGGAGAATAGTGAGGGGCAGTAAGGGTCAATGTAGCACTGAGGTAAAAGAGAGAGAGAAGATGAGCAGCCTGGCAGGTGACTGGAGAGACAGGTCTTTGGTCGGTGCACCCCTCTTTCCGAGGTCTCTGCCTCTCTTTGTCCTGACTCCACCATTCAGCTTTCTTTAGCTGTTTTCCATTTATTCTGTGACTGAGGGTGTCATTGACGTTAAATTTCAACACATTTATTGTTTTAAAAAAATCTTTAAAGTATATAGCATTTTTAGCTTATTTCTAACCTATTTGCAAATATTACAGTACAGTCAATGGGAAAAAAATTATTATCCTTATTCCCCTACTCTCTTGGCTCAGTTGGCATCTAAAGAAGATCCAAGGTTGCCCCGGAATGACAGCTTTTCTTGGGTGAGCACGACTCTGGCCTAGCTTAGGCCTTCTCGCCTGGGGCAGCCCCATATGTGGAAATTCTTTCCTGCTTTCGAAACACAGTCAAATGTAACTTCTTCCACGATGTTTTGCCATTCAGCTGGGTGTGCCCCTCCTTCCCAAGTCCTCCACATGTAAGTGTCAGGGAACTTGCTCCCTCCGTGTTCTAGTCCTTCCCAAAACTCAATTCCCAAATCCCATCCTTCAATTTGTCTACTCTGTCTCCAGGCACGGATCCAAAGGAATTACAACAAGGATAACCACGTGGCTTGTTAAAAATACAAGCACACCCCAGCTCTCCCAACCAGGCCCGCCTTTATTGGACAACAGTGGATGCATGAAGGGGTCCAAGAAGCTGCTTTCTAAGCAGTCGCCTTGGTGGGCTCTGAGTAGTCAGGGGTAGAAAATGTGAATTTCCCGTTTATGGTGGGTCCTGTCTCTAATAGGCAGGCTTGTATCTCTGTGAGCCTGGGACTTCCAGTGACTGCTATCTGGGACAGTTCTAAGGAGTGCATTTTGGAATAAAGGCTAACATTGCTCTATAGACTTCCCCTGTGACCAAGTAATTCAATGCAAACTCAAGAGCATCGGGATTTATGAAGATCATCTAGCCCATGCACACGCAAACCTGGAGTAGGAATTTACTTGAGGCCCAGCATGGCCTTTACTCTCAGATTAATCCTGAAGAAAATAATTTCGAGATTTTGGAAACAGACATGAAACACACAACAGTGAGGATGTAAACTTAACAGAGCCCAGAGTTAAAGTCCCGGCTAGAAAGTTCCAGAGTCCCCAGGGTCCCTAACTTGAGTCTCACCTAGCAAAGCCTCCCTTGCGTGTTTTGTGGATTAAAGTCAAGCAAGCGGCAGTGTGGATTTACCTTCCAGCGGACAGGGTTCAGGGCCTTGATGTGTTTGTTCATGTCTTCATCAACATTGAAGCGATTGATGACAGAGTTGATCTTGAAAGCCACCTTGTAGTCTCGGCACCAATTCCTCAGTTTTTGAAGGTTTTCCACGTGGTTCTTTTTCCCCTGACCCCGGCCAATGAGAACATTAACGTCCTCATTGAAGCTGTCACAGGAGATGGCAAGAATGTCCAGATAGTCACCTGCAGAAAAAGGATGATGATGATGGTAATAAAAATAATAATAATAATAATAACAATAATAATAATCTGCTCCCTGAGCCCTCGAATCCATTTGTATCTCTTTACAGTAAAGTGCACCATCTTCGCAGCTGTGTTTGAAAGACTTTCCTGATTCTCTGTTCTCTGTCCTGGACGCAGGAAAGTCAGAGAGATGTGAATTATGCAGGGTATGTATGTATGTGATTAATAAAATACATACATACATGCATAATGAAATCACAGAGCTACTTAATGTGATCAATTTTATACTGCATCCATGCAGGTGCCTGAATCATCATTAGCACCATTTACTAAGATTTTTCTCTTGTGTTGTCATAGAGACGCACAAATCATGAAGCCTGTTTCTATTAATTATGCAGGATTGTAGGCTTGCTTTGCCCGGCATACAGACAAACTTGTGTCTTAGCTGTCTAGTCATTTCTCCAGACTCAGGAGCTTCCTCTTGCTGTGCCTTACACGTTTATTTACTATGGAACTATTTGCAGACACTCTGTGCTGCGTCGGGTGCCAGTGATAGAGAGGCTGAAACAATCCAGATAAAGGGGAGCTGGGTGCACAGAACAAACAGGCCCCACCCTGCAAGGCCATGCATTAAGAGTCCTGACAGGGAGTCATGGGGAGAGCTATAAAATATTGACATTGAGCTTGGCATTGGGCCTCTCTTCGCCGGTCTCTGGAGCTCCAGTGTCTGCTCTGTGTTTCCTGTGACAGCCATCTTCCTTCCCTGCTCCCCGCCCTCAGCTGCCTAAGAAGAGCAGGCATCCGGGGGCCTGAGGTAATTCTTGCAGCTGACCAAGCTTGAGCTCTCTTGGTTGGTGAGAATGTCCAAATGTCTCCATTTTACCTTAAAATTCTCTTCCCATTATAGAAGCGAAGAGTTCCAAAATTTCTTTCCGATACTATTCTCTATAATCGCGAAAAGACTAATTTTAGCTCTTATTTTAGATTTATTTCATGCTGCCTGTATCTAACAAGCACACACCGGAGCCAGAATAAATTTCCTGTTATTTAAATCAACTCAAAGTGTTTCACAACTTGACCTCAAGTGAATTCCTAAGGGAGGCCCCACCAGGATGAGGTAACTGAACACATAGTCTCTAACAAAACCAAGGGGACACAGAAGCTCAAAACCAAACACATGAAAAGCAGTCTCTTCCAGGAGCACCTTGGCTGGCTGATTGACAAAAGCACCGAGCATCTGCTAGTCCATCCCGCTATCCTCACCCTGCACTCCATCTTTAGCTGTGTTTTTGTGAAGTCCCCCAATCTTTATCTGTGTTTCTCTGATGTTCCCTCCTCCTGGTCACAGCTCTTGGGAGGAACCATTTGACAGAGCAGGTCTGTTGGCTTAGGTCTTGTGTTTTTCCAGAAGAGCTGAGGCTCTGGTGGGGTACTGTGCAGCCCCTGCCTATATGGTTGCTACAGTAGCATGCATAATAACAATGGGTGATGCGTGTAAGCTCCAGCCATGCGGCCATGTGTCAGGATTGTGTAGACACATATATGATGTGTTTACGTGTATTGTTGGAGTCCTGGGGACTCCATGTACTTAGCAATACATGCTTGAGTGACCAGCACTCTGTGATACTATCTGATCCAATATGGAAGTGAATCTCCTGTGTGAAGACAACCCCGACATTGCCGAGGTTGACTGTTAGGAAGAAAAGAAAACCCGTGCAGACTCAGTTAGAGATGGGCTCAAAAACACATGGCCTCTCTGTACTCAGTGATATACACCTGTGGCCTGCTGCTATCTTGCTCTGGTTTTGCTCTCCCTGAAAGAGTCTTGGCAGTCTGCCAACAAACTCCCAAACTTGGAGGTGTTGTGTGTCTCTGATAGCTTCTCCTCATGCCCGAGGACATAGGTCCAACTTTGAGTTATTTGCAGACATTTATAATCAGGATAGTTTTACAGAGAATATCGCTTTATACATCTGGGATAATTTGAGGGTAGGCAATTTTCCATCTAGTCTAAAAGCCAATTAACATTTGCAATTGCCATTTACCTGACTACCAGGAAGAGAGCCTTGCCATTGACTTTTGCTGTCTCTGTGTTTTGCTGTCTCTCTAGGCTATGATGTTGAGTCACATGACCCTTTCTGGGTGGTCTCTGACCACAGTCTCTGACACTGTCCTGAAGCATACGTCCTGTCCACACTCCTTGACACAGGGGTAGATGTTTTGAGTTTTTCATAAAGAGCAACTACTGCCTGGGTACACCCTTCAAGACATGGTCCACTGCTCTCTATTCATGCTGCCTCTGCCATCCTTCCTTCTGTCTTACTTTGTGCCCCCAGTGTCTCCGTTCAGTGCTTCCCATCACAGATGTCTTGCATGATGCACCACGACAGCTTCCTCCTTGAGTTGCTGTCCCTATTTCCAAGAATCCTCCTTGCCTGCCCAAACATCATAGACAGCCTTCACCCACAAGCTCAGCCTCTGCCTGCAGGTGGATGCATCCTGTAAAATTGTCTGGTTAGTGTCTCCAACCAAAAGTGCTGGCTTCCCTTTGAATGACTCCAGAGCTTCACAGGGTCACAAAGCAAGGGTGGAGTAAGGGACTCGGAGGGGAGGTTTTAACTGTCTTCTAAACAGAAAGTAATCATAACGAGCCACCTCATGTCATGGGTTGCTCCCAAGACACTGCAGTTCTCAGAAAATATTAAGAGCACCAAAAAATCAGTCAGTCGGTGTGCTATGAGCTTCTAATATGACTAGACTTATAATCAGCTTAGTTCTAACAGAGATTCAAAGAAAAAGTCTCACTGGACATCCCTGGCTGAGCTAGAACTCCCTATAGAAATCAAGTTGGCCTCAAGCTCACCAAGATCCATCTCTGCTTCCCAAGTGCCAGCACTGAAGGTCACTGCCATGACCTGTCTCTAACAGAGACATGTATAAAGCTGTAGAGTGTGTTGATTTTCCTCAGTAATGGCTAAACGTAGACCCCAGTTATCCATGAGTGCTAAATTAGTAGGTGTAGCAACGATCTGCACGCTGACTTGTTCTCTTATATGTCTCCCCATACCTGTTTATTAGCACCCAACAGAAACAAAATAATCTAACACCATGCACAACTCAGGAGATATTATAAGAAACAAGATTAAATTAGGTTTTCTTTCCTCCCAGTTCCCCAGATGTTCTGGCCTGGAGCCCAGAAAGGGAGAAAACACAGGAGTCAACATGCAAGTTGTAGTGAGTAAGGTCTTGCCTGTGGGAACTTACCATAGTCCCTGAACCACTTCTCGCGGATGAGGCTGCCATTGCTCACGATGCTCACAGAGGGCAGGGCCAGCTCCTCCTTGCAGAATCTCACGAGCTTACCCACATATTCACCCCTGTCCTGCAGAAAGGGTTCTCCTCCTGAAAAGTTGATCTTCTCCATACCTGTAAGGAGCAAAAGCTATATGTTTTGCATTTTCCAAATACTCTTTTCATTATTTTGGTTTATGAGGCTGGAGAGAGAACTCGTTTGTTGCTCTCTCAGAGGACCAGAGTTCATTTCCCAGTGCCCATGTTGGACAGTTCACAGTTCCCTCCAGGGGATTCTATGCTTCTGGGGACACAGACCAACACAGGCACTCATGCACACACACACATACACACATAATAAATCTTATTATTATTTTGTAATTTTTTAGTGTGTATTTGTATGTATTCACATGGAGGATGGGATAGGGCCAGATCCCAGGGTCTTGTGTATACTAGATAGGCACTTTGGGATGATGAGATACACTCACAGCCTCATTCATTTTTGTTTTAAAGACAAATTAACATTTCCTTATGGTAAAATGAATGAGATAAAACTAACCATTATTCTCTTTTTTATCTCATCCTGTTTTCCAATATTCATACCACTCTCAATAACTGTGGGTTCTGTTCATGGTCTAAACTAGGAAGGAAATGACTGTAGTATTTCGTTCCTCTTCTTTTTCTATTTGGAAACAGATACACTCGATGACGGGAAACCAATTCCACATCGCAGCAGACTCTCTGAGAAGTCCAAGGGCACCGTGAGTCCATCGGGTGATGCTCAGAACAAAAAGTCAATCCCAGATGCATCTGGGAGAAGACGTGGGGGTGACCGTGAACTCATCACAGCTGTGCTGTCCGGGGCTCAGAGTCCAGTTCTGTCAAAGAGCTAAGGTGTAGGTGAGTGGGCAGGTGACTCCTAAAGCTTTCAGTGAGGAAAGCAGAGACGGTGGCTACCTTACGAAATCCCTGCTGCCAAAAGGCTGAACCTTAATCTAGGTCCCAGTGAGGTAACAAGGCTCAGAGTCTTTCTTGTGGGTAATAAGCCAGTTCAGACTGGAGCCAAGTGAATTAGATCCCACCATGTAGGGCTGTGTATTGCATGATTTCATTATCACACACATAAAATCAGGCGAGTCTAAAGTGAGCATCACAAATCCAAATGGGAGTCCCCCTGGGGTCAGTGTGGTGGCTGGAGGCCAGCTTGCCCCTGGAGCGCTGGCTAATAATTCTCTATTACCCAGCTGTGGTCCAGGGAGACCTCTTTGCAGAGTCATGGGGAAGTACAGTTAGCATGTTTGGTGCCTAGACCTGTCGACTGTGCTTCGGTTAAAGAGAAGAGAAGGCAATTTCTAGGCGAGTAGGTATTCTTGAGAGAAATGGAGGGAGGGAGGGAGAGAAAGAAGGAAGGAGTGAGGAAGAGAGGGAGAGAGGGAAGGAAGGAGGGAGAGAAAGAGGGAAAGAGGGATGGAATTAGGGAGAGATGGAGAGAGGAAAGGAGGGAGGGAAGAAGCGAGGGAGGGAGGGAAGAAGCGAGGGAGGAAGGGTAGGTTAGGAGGAGAAGATGCTGCAGTTTCACTGCTAAACTCATACCCAAGAATGGGACAGCAAATCTTAGGAGAAAAATCCTATGACGTGCCTGTCAAAATCACCTTAAGGTTTACAGAGGGCTGGACAGGTGACTCGGTGTTATGACCCACTTGCTGCACAAGTCTGAGAACTTCTGTTTGGATCCCTGATACCCTAGGAAACCTGAACACCGCAGTGAGCATTTGTGACGCCATCCTTCCTACTTCGGGATGGGAGGTAAGAGAGTCTTCTGTGAGGCTCAAATGCCAGCCCACACTGCACATCATCAGACAATGGCAGAGAAACCCTGTCCCAGACAAGGCTGAAGGCTAAGAGTAAAATGATACCTGAAGTGGTTGTCCTTTGGTGGTCCCAGGCTACAGCTCTGCTGTTGCCAAGCAGGTGACCAGATTACCACACACACGCACACACACACACACACATATACACACACCACACACACACACCATACATACATATACATACGCACACACACCACAATACATATACACACACACACAGACACTCACACCACACACACACAATGTGTATGCAAAGAATGCAAAGATTTTCTTCTTTTGAGGGAAAAGTCTCCACCAAGGAACAGGGTGAAGCTTCTGCCAGGCTGTTCACACTGGGGACTTGGGTCTTCCCTTCCGCTTTCCTTACTTAGTGTTTCTGGAAATCAGATTTCTCTGGGCAGACTCTTCCAGGGACACAACTTTCCTGAGTTCCTGTTTCCAAACACCAGGAGGAACGGGACCCCGTTCACACCTCTGCTCACAGGAGCGACTGTTCACCTCCCAGACTGGAGCAAGCTGTTGGTCCCTGGCCCATCCTTGAAAGACTGCCTGTTCCCTGCCCCACGATACTGTGTCTAGATCTCAGGGAGCCCTTCCCACCCTCATCCTATGTGCAACCCCTGTTCTCTGGCATGAGCACCCTGGCTTCTGCCTGGGCTAGGAGCTTACCAGCCTGTTTGAGCAGAAGCAGCCCTCGCTTGGCCTCCTCCAGGGGCAGCACGAAGGATGTCTTGGCTGTGTGGAAGCAGAACCCGCACTTGTAATTGCACTGACGGGTGAAGTGGTAGTTGACGCTAACGGGGACTGTAGGCTGAGAATCGTTTGGTTCTTCCGGGGTCTCCTCGGGCATGGTCTGGACCTGTGGCTGTGGTTGTCCCCTTCCAGAACCTAGCCATTTCAGTGCTAGTCTAAACCAGCAGAACAGGATGGCCAGTCCACTCCAGAGGGAGTCCAGCTGCTGCTGGAACAGGCTCAGCAGCCCGGCAGCAAGAGCAGTGGGCATGAGCATCCCCATGGTGATCTGCACTCACCTGCAGCTACCAGAGGGCTTATAAGCTTCGGGCCAACCACACCCCCGTGCATTCTGTCACATGGCAGAGGGAAACGCCTCCCTTGAGTAAGTCTCAGCTGAGCAGAGTTTCTGTTTTCTGAAAATGAAAGTTGAACCTGAGCCAAGACAGAAGCTTGGGACGGAGGCCAATGGGCTGCCTTTCCCTGGCTCACGGCTGCTCCTATGCTATGACCCATGTAAACAGCGTCAGTCCTGATGACCCCGATGACGCTGCAAAGATTCCAGCAGCCACCAGTTTCTAAACAAGGGTCGTCCAGACACAAAGCTGCCTCCTAACAGGTTATTATTTTAACACAAAATTATGCCTTAAGCTTCTTGTAACGAATATCTATACATACTTAATAATTTTTTTAATCCTCTTCTTTGGTTCTCCACCCACCCCACTCATGCCTAACAAACAAAAACAAACAAAACCAAACCACCAAAAACCTGGAGTTTTATAACTTCGCACAAGGCAGATCATGCAGGCTGACCTTGGAAGCTCTCTCAAAGAGGAAGGAGAAGGAGTTCAAGACCGGTAGATGTCAGGAAAAACAAAAAAACAACAAACAAATAAATATAGCAAAGAAATTCGGCACAGTAAAGTTAATCATTTTAAAATTGGATTTCTTAGTAATTATTTTTTTCTCTTTTATATTGTCAGAGGACACACATTGTAGATTTTCCTCAGACTCTTCCTTTCAAAGCTTTGCCATCGTGGTACAGTTCTGCAGTCCTGTGCATGGTGTGGCCGGTGCCTTTCCTCCAGGCAAGCTCCTGTGTTTTGGTAATAAGGTCGTTTGGGACAACACATTAAATTTGCTTTGCTTGTCTCTGGACTTCTCCTTTACTGATGCCTCTGTCTCCCCTCTGACATCTTTCCCAAGGAGCTCCATGCTTCTTGAGTTGTCTTCTTTGTGTTGTTTCTACTTTAGTGTTTGGGGGAAGTAGAGAGAGTCTTGGACATACAGTTCCTTCTGCCTCTGAGAAGGAAAGGACAGTGCCACCGCTACAGGCCACAATTTAGCAGGCTTCATAAATGCTGGTGGAGGGATGTAAAGAACCAAGCTTGGAAATTCTTCTACTATGTATATCTTTTAGTTGTTTAAAAAAAAGCCTCTTTGAATGGAACATTTTGCTTTTTGTAACACCAGATATTGTTTCCAATCTTCCCTTACCGCCACTGCATCTTTTTTCTCTAGTAAACAAAGAGGCTGTAGACTGAGAGTCCCTTATCTAACATCTGGAGGGGAGATGTGATTCTTATTTCATGGTTTGTTTCTCAGATTTGGGGAAAATTTATACTGACAAAGACTATCATTGACTGGTCACCCTGGAAGTAATACAAGACACGTTTTAAATGGAATCTACACACAAAACAGTTGTATTTGTGGAGTTTTATACCTCTCTCTCTCTCTCTCTCTCTCTCTCTCTCTCTGTGTGTGTGTGTGTGTGTGTGTGTGTGTGTAAAAATCTAACCATTCTAGATTTGAATTTACAGGCATTCAACCTGAATGACCATGTGGCATCTTCTTCCCAAGAAGCTTGCATAAAGTACTTAGGGTTGCTTGCTGTGACAGTCAGAGAAAGAATCATTTCCCAGGGTCCAGCTGGCCAAGCTGGTTCTTTCTTCAAGGGAAGAAGTCAGTTTGCCAGAGAGATGACTGGAAGCCCACGTTCCCTGGAGTGTTACAGAGCCAGGATGTGGATTCCTCCAAGAGTTCATCTACAGACTGAGGGGTAAGGAAATATAACAAAGGGGCTGGGACGATAATTCTGCTGGCAAAGGGCTTAACTTGTTTTGTGTTAACATTTTCTGAGGCAACAAAAACAACAAATGTGTTTTCATCTCAGAGAGGGTGTCAGCGAAGGACCAAAGTTCAATTCCAGCCAAGCCCAATTCGGTGAGCCAATGAGTTTATTATATTTATAGAGCATGAGGGGATGGGCTACTTCTGAAGAAAGGCATCGTGGCAGAGCCCCGCCCCTGCATGGATGATGACCTCATGGAAACTGTACCATGCAGGTCTCCTTTCTGCTAATCTTAAACATGGAATGTATCCTATGATTTCCCAAGATCACTTGAATTTGTGAGATCAGGAAGAGGTCACAGGGAAATACCAGGTGAGGGTCTTGTGACATTCCCCTCTTCTGTCTACCACGGCACCATGTTAATAGCTCTTTCCTGTTACCACAGACTTGGATACCACTGCACTGTTTCCTTGATTAGTGAACAAGAAAACCTTTGGTTCAAAGTGGTGGTGAGGTGAATGGGTTTTACCCTCAGCGGGGAAAGACCATGCTGTAACATCTTGGAAGTGGTGGTCCTAAGTTTGATTCCCAGAACCTGTATAAATAATGCTGTGTGTTGTATCACCTGCCTGGAATCCCAGCACTGGGGATAGGGAGACAGCCAGATCCCTACAACTTGTTAAGGGATTCAGCTAGGCCCATTTTACGGCAAACTGCAGGGACTCTGTCTGCCTTTGCCTTCCTTATTGCTACGACTACAAGTACAAGCTCCCATGTCAGGCTCTTTTACATAGATCTAGAGATCTGAACTCAGGCCTTCATACTTACAAGTTAAATTCTTTACCACCTGAGCCACAGCTGATGTAGGAGGGTCTTCTATCTATCTGTTGCTTTCATTGGTTAATTAATAAAGAAAACTGCTTGGCCTGATAGGTCCGAACATAGGTAGGCTGGGAAGACAGAACAGAATTGTGGGAGAAAGAAAGGAGAGTCAGGAAGTCGCCGTGAAGCTCTGGCCCAAGATGGACGTAGGTTAGAATCTTCCGGGTAAACCACCAACTCGTGGTGCTACACACATTAATAGAAATGGGTCAATCAAGGTGTGAGAGTTAGCCAATAAGAGGTTAGAACTAATGGGCCAGGAAGTGTTTAAATGAATACATTTTCCTTGTAATTATTCTGGGGCTAAGCTAGCTGTGCAGGACAAAAAGCAGGCCTGCTTGCTTCTTTACTACAGACAGTCCTGTCTCCATTGTCACATTTTCTTTTTTCTTTTCTTTTTCTTTTTTTCTTTCTTTCTTTTTTTTTTTTTGAAACTTAGCAGAGTCCTTAATTGGACTGTTCTAGTTCCCTCTTTTTATCAGAATGGTGTTTGCATATGTTCTGTGAAAAGTGAAAAAGTCTGATGACTGAATCTTGGGTGTGGGTCTGTGCTCAGGGTCTAGGTGATATAGCTGAGGTGCTGGGCTCAGGATCTGGGTGATGCAGTTGAGGTGCTGGGCTCAGGATCTGGGAGATACAGCTGAGGTGCTGGGCTCAGGATCTGGGAGATACAGCTGAGGTGCTGGGCTCAGGGTCTGGGCGATGCAGCGGAGGTTCTGTGCCCAGGCTCTGGGCGATGCAGCGGAGGTTCTGTGCCCAGGCACTGTTTGATGCAGCTGAGGTATTGCACTGTGGACTTTTACTCCCTTCTCAGCAAACATCTCCTGAGCTCTTTGTGAAGAGGAAAAATCCTCATTTTCCAGAAGGAACAGAACACTGCCTGCGGGGAGCCATTGTTGTGAATGGAAACAGAAACCTCTGTTTATTTTCGACTGGGAAACCGAAAGTAAACTCTGCAGCATAAGCCTGTAGCTTAAGGAAGCCAATTATGCCAGTGTTATCTGACTCAAGTCCTTGAAATCTGAGGAAAGGAAAATGCTGTAATCTCTGGCAGAGATTGAGACTTGAGAAATACCCTCTGCGAGGTCACATACACACACACACACACACACACACACACACACACACACAATGTCAGCATCAGGTGAAACAGCTGGTGAAAAGTGCTTCAGTGGACCAATCCTGGCTGAACTGGGACCACATACTTTGGGGTAGATTTTGTTACCTGCCTGCGATTTATTTGGCTTGTGCCATTCTTTCAGATATTAATTAGAGCATGCTTTCCTTAAGCCATCTTCTTTTTTTAAAAAAGCATATTTATTGAGATTGCCCTGTGAAGTTGTCATATAAAAATATCATCAAGTATGAATGAAATATAAAAGTACTGGTTAGCTCCATTGTCAAACTGACTAGGTTTAGTGCTCTGATGGGAACACCTGTTGGTTGTCTTTAGGCAGGTGGTCCCCTCTTGGCTCTGTACCCTGCCATTTGTCTGCCTGAGCTTCTGATCCATCTGGGAAACACGGACAGTTGTGTGTTGCTCACACATGACATCATAATATAGAGGGCCTGGTGCAGATTCAGCACTAAGGGCAGTGCTTGCAGTAACAGAGTGAGGAATGTCCACTCCCCTTATGAGCCTGGCTCTGGGCTGTAGTTTGCACGCTGATTCTTGCTACAGTTTAGAACCCCGACATCACTCAGGGAGCAAGATCTCAGTGGGTGTTTAATGCTGGCCACACTGTTTCACAACTGACTATCATAATAGAATTGCCTTATCTTTGCTGGTCAGACTTCTTTGTGCAGGCCAGATTCTTCCTTCCTTCCTTCCTTCCTTCCTTCCTTCCTTCCTTCACTCATGTATTCAGTCATGCTTTCATTTTCTCATGTTCCTTTTATTTGATATTTATTGACTGGAATTTCTCTATGGAGTTGTCATATAAAATATCAATAATTCGGAGTAAAATGTAAATCTGATAATTATCTTTACTCTCAACTTGACTAGGATTGATTGATTGATTGAATAATTGATTTTGATGGAAACATTTGTATTTTCATATGTTTCCAGGGAGTTTAGCCAAGAAGGTAAGGCCTCTCTTAGTGGACTTAGAACGTCACCATTCCCTAGGCTGCAGGCCCAGACTGAGTAATAGTGGAAAGAGGAATTGAGCCCCAGCATGAATCCCTTTCTACTTCCTGACTGCAGACGCAATGTGACCAGTCCCATCATGCCACTGCCTCAAAGCCTTCCCTACCATCTCCTTTCATGCCCTGAGACAACAGGAATTCTTTTCCCCTTTAGTTGGTTCAGGTCTAAAACTTGACCAGGA